ATTTGACAAATCTAACGAACATAACACGAGTGACGTGCCGCCGCACAGTGTTGTGATACAGGAAATTGGTGTTCGAAAAGGTTTACAGCATTCAATTTTCAACCGATTGGGACGATTTTTTTTTTTTTAGATGAAGGTGAGAAGATCACCTACAATTCTACCGAGCGATATTTTCGATATCAGGAATCCTAATCAAATCTTTAATAGACAAAGTATGAAATATTGATATATTTTCAGAAGATGATTTTTTCTACTTCTGTCAACGCGCAAACCATTATAATTGCCAAACTATGAATCCATGGATTGTAATGGATCTTTTATTACTCAACTCGTAAGCTCCAAATCTCATAACCCCGAATCCCATAACTTCGAGCCCTCATAACCTCAAATCCCATAATCCCAAACTTCATAAGCCCCAACCCCATAATACCGAACACCATAACAGATTTACAATCCATGGATTCATAGTTTGGTAATTTGGTAATGGTTTGCGCGTTGACAGCAGTAGAAAAAAATCATCATCTCCTCTGAAAATGTATCAATATTTCATACTTTATTTATTAAGGATTTAGTTAGAATTCCTGATATCGAAAATATCGCTCGGTAGAATTGTAGTGTGTAATCTTCTCACCTTCATAAAAAAAAAGAAAAAAAAAGAATCGTCTCAATCGGTTGAAAACTGAATGCTGTAGATCTTTTCGCACATGAATTTCCTGTATCACAACACTGTGCGCCGACGAGTAGGAGGGTGTGACGCCTCGTCGAGCTAATTGCTACACACTAAACGCTACCGTTTTTCGCTACACGCTCGCGTTTCGTTGTTATTACTCAATGTTTGTGTTGACGCATCGCGAGATGAATGTATGCATAGTGCGTGCACTTTCGTTACGTCAACGTTCGATATAACCGCAAACTTTAGGTATGCGATTGACGCAAATCGAGCTTCGATAAAGTCTCGACATCTACCAGGCCGGAATACGCGATTGGTTTTTAATTCGTTCGCATCCTGCCCGCACGTGACATCACGCGAGCTACGGTTTCCACGGGCTGCTTAAGGGGGAAAAAGGAAAATCGGATCGGCCGAATGACCAGCTGTCACGACGCAGATGCGTATCCGCGCGCGCACGCGCGCGCGCGGTGACGCGACGCAACGACGAGGAGTTATTACGTGAGTTTCGGCCCGTTGAATGTTGAGGCTTTGCAGGAACCTGGCGTACGTCGTGAATCAACGATTTCGATGGAAACTGATGCATATGCAACGCGCATTTTCATACGGAGCACGCCAACTATTGATACGTCGTTATCGATATTTATCGCTACGTTCGAGCGTTGCGTTGGAGGAATAACGATCGACAACAGCTTCGGAAATGTCGGCTGAATCGGAAAACATTTCAGACAAGAGCTGCTGGATGTTTTTTTCCATACTTTCTCGAAAGCACGAACGAAAACATTAGAGTGACATCATTCGAATCGCGTCTTGCTGCGCGTATTGCTGCAATGCTGCAGTCGCACTCGTCGGATTTATTACGCCGAAATTTCCCTGAATTTTCCCTTCAACGAGTAGAAAATAAATTTGTATATGGTCATTTCAGAAAACTAAGATTTTAGAAAATTGAGAGACACATTTGCGCGTTTACGGTGTTTATCACCGGCCAACAAACGTACACAGTTAAAAACATTTCGTACTTTTGTTAAAATTATTTGTGTGTAGAAAGTTTTGTGTTAAATTTTTACACAGTCGTGTGTTAATTTAACATATCGTTGTTGTGATACCTAAACTCTCTTGTGTTAAATTAAGATTATCTATTTTCAAGTGTTAAAATGACATTTCCAAGTATTACCAAGTATTCCAAATATTCCAAGTATTAACACAATTTATATGTAAATGCATGAATTCTTGCTATGACATATTTTATATGTTGAAGTCAACACCTAAAATGTTTCCTACTTTCTTCATTATAACAGTATATCTTGTGTTAAATGTATAATGTTAACATTTCTGATATGTGAAGATTGGATTTTTAACACATAGATTATGTCAATCTAACATTTTCACTTCATTAAATCATAGATCATTACTTTTTCCAAATGTTGAAGTAACTAACATTCATTGTATGTCAATCACAAACACAAATTGTGATTCTCAACGGCATTCAAATGTTAAATTTTCGTGTTAATTTTTTTTATAACATATTATGTGCGTTATTTTTTAACATATTTGCTGTATGTTAAGTTAATACATAAATGAGAGTGGATGATTTGAGACACATGAAATATGTTAAATTTAACACATCATTTCTTACAGTGTAATAACGTCATGTAACATCGTCGTTAATACGTCGTTCGCTTGACATCATTGACGCGTCATGATGTAGTATGTAACTTTTACATTTTTTTCTCGAATTAAGAGGATCACGAATGAACGAAGATTACAACCTTCTGAATACTAGTCAAGGTCACAACCTTGAAAATATGCGTCAGGCGAACGTCATTGCAGAAGGATGTGCATTAACGTACGGAAAACATGAAAATAACTCAAAGCTGCTTGACCCTCGAAATCCGCTTATGTGATACTTCATCTCTTCACCCAAAGCAAGCCTATTCGCAAAGTCTGAAGTAAATTAGAACATGGGCGTGTTCTCCAGAGTAACAGCCAAAAGCGCCCGAACTGCATCAGAAGCGAGTGTGCTCTCGTTTTTACACAGTTAAAAACGTTTCGTACTTTTGTTAAAATTTTTTGTGTGTGTAGAAAGTTTTGTGTTAAACTTTTTACACAGTCATGCGTTAATTTAACATATCGTTGTTGTGTTACTTAGACTTTCTTGTGTCAAATTAAGATTAATTATTTTTTCAAGTGTTAAAATAACACAATTTATATGTAAATGTATGAATTCTTGCTATGACACATATTATATGTTAAAATGCGTTATATTTCCTCATTATAACAGTTATCATGTGTTAAGTTAAGATTAACACTTCTCAATTGTAAAGATTAAGCTGTAAAGATTGGATTTTTAACACATAGATTATGTCAATCTAACTTTTTCATTTCATCAAATCATTACTTTCCCCAAATGTTGAAATAACATTCATTGTATGTCAATTTAACACAAACTGTGATTCTTGACGGCATTGAAGTGTTTTTTTTTTTGTGTTAATTTTTTACTTTACTTATGCGTGTTACTTTTTAACATATTTGCTGTATGTTAAATTAACATATACAGCATAAATGAGAGTGGATGATTTGAGACATATGAAATATGTTAAATTTGACACATCATTTCTTACAGCGTACCGCACGATCTCGAGATTTCTTCTCAACGAACTTTGAAACGCGGCCGACGTCTAACGGGAGCATTCGCGTTTCCGAGCAAGTGCATAATTCCCCCGAGAGACGCTTCCCCTGTCGTCGAACGTTGGCCGCATCTCGAGACGCGTCGCTATAGAGAAGAAACGTCGCAGACGTACCGTAATGAGCGTGCACTTTGTAATTCGGCGATATTCGACAATCGGCGAGAACCGCGCGTCGCGATATCCGAGTGTTTGCCCTCGTGCAATGAATAGCAATGCAGTAGCGGCGCGCGGCAACGGATGACGACTTTTGCGGTGGTGATGTTGGCGGTGGTGGTGATGGTGGTGGTGGCGGTGGTGGTGGTGGTGGTGGTGGTGGTGGTGGTGGTGGTGGTGGCGGTGGTGGTGATGATGGTGGTGATGGTGGTGATGGTGATGGTGGTGGTGGTGGTGGTGGTGGTGGTGGTGGTGGCGATGGCGGTGGTGGTGGTGGTGGCGGTGGCGGTGGTGGCGGTGGCGGTGGTGGTGGTGGCGGTGGTGGTGGTGGTGGTGGTGGTAATGGTGGTGGTAATAGTGATGGTGACGGTGGTGTTGGTGATGCTGATGGTGGTGGTACCTATCGTGGCTTGGGTCGGTTCGCCACGGTTCGCCATGGTATGCCTCGACGCGGCTTAGCTGGCGACGAGGCGACGGTGAAGAGGAGGATGACGCACCCACACGTGTAGCGTCGCCTCGCACACCTTTCGGACAGCGCGCAGCAGCGATTTGCTACAGAGAGCCACTACACCCACCGCGCGATCGAGCTAACACACCGGACGACACAAGTTCTCTTCGATTAACCCCTGCCGGTGGCCCGGCGCGCCGTGGCGCAGCGGGGAGCGGTGAGACGAGGCGAAGCGTGGCGAGACGAGGCGGGGCACGGCGCAGAGCGGCGCGATTCGACTCGCAGTTGCGACGTGCAGTCGGCTCTCGGCAGTGTAGCAGCCGCCTGAAACCCCATAAAAGCCCGGGGTCCGAGCGGCCCACGGTCAGTTGTCATTGCGGGCCCACCGGAAGCACGTGTCTGCGAAGTCGGGACGCGCGCCGATTGATCGTGTGCCGGGAGAGACGAGATCTGAGCGAAAAGGTTGTCATTAATAGAGAGACCCACGCTCTCTCTCTCTCTCTCTCTCTCTCCCTCTCTCTCTCTCTCTCTCTCTCTCTCTCTCTCTCTCTCCTCCCTCTCTCTCTCTCTCTCTCTCTCTCTCTCTCTCTCTCCCTCTCTCTCCTATCTCTTTCTCTCTGTCCGGTGAGAAGATAATCAAACGCGCTCCCCTCGCTCCGCTCGCTCCGAGATAACGGGCCCCGCGGCCCGTCGCGGCAGCCTCGGCCGACCTGTGACAACCGGCGCGGATTATCGTGCGTATCTTTTCGCGCGAGCGCGTTCTCCACGTTTCTTTCGCCCGCGAGGGAATCGGTCGTTCGGGAACGCGGTATAGCACGTGGCTGAGAACTATTATAAGAGATGCGAGCGCGACGCCAGACAGAGCGACGCTTCCGTTGGCAAGAGGCGTCGCGTTGGGTCGCCGTCTATCTCCGTCGTCGCGGGGAGGGATCGCATGAAAGTAGAGAGGAACGCGTGTTTCGCGCGTATAAATAAATAAATAAGTACGTAAATAAATATATATGTATAAATATATGGATGTGTATGTGTATGTGTATGCATGCATACGTGCGTGCATGCATATATGCGTGTACATATGTATATATATACATGCGTGCATGTGTATGTATGTATATATAAAAACATGCGCATATATAAAAACATATACATATATATGCATATTAGGCGTGGCGCGACCGTCGGAATTCGAGATATCGCGGACGAAACTCGGTCGCGTGTACATCAACGCGGTTTCCGTGATCGCAATCGCGATCGCGATCGAGGAGGACACCAGTCAGCGGCGCGGCCGCGTTCGCGCTCGCGTTCGCGTTCGCGCTCGCGCGGGAGGATCTCCTCCTCCTCCTCCTCCCACCAGGGTTCAGCAGACGACTCGCGGTCAGTCAGTCAGTCAGTCGGACGTTTGCTATCCGATACGGTTAGCGTGCGCACTCGGAGGACGAAATCAGTGTCGCCGCCGCCGCCGCTGCCGTCGCCGTCGCTACCGCCGCCGCCGTCGCCGCCGCCGTCGTCGTCGTCGCCGTCGTCGCCGTCGCCGCCGTGTCAGATGCGCACCGGCGTTACTCCGTGAAGGAGAAGCGAGTACGGTCGGGAGGTAAAGAGAATAACAGAGACGTAATACACGGGTGGCGCGAGAGGGCGGAGGAGGGCGAGAAACAAGACGAAACGACGAGGAGCGACGGAGAGAAGGAAAGAAGGAGCGGGCGAAGAAGGGAGAAGGAAGAAGGAAAGAGGGAGGGAGGGAGGGAGAGAGAGAGAGAAAGAGAGAGAGCGAGAGAGAGACGCGAACGAAGCCGACGACGCCGCGCCGCTCTCCCGTGTCTCTTCGTCTCTCGGTGCGCTCTCGCGGCCGGCGTGTACCTACCTACACCTACCTACCACCTTATAAAACGTGCGCGCAGTATCGCGCGCTCCGAACCGGCGCGCTGCGCGACGAAAGCGCGAGGCGCGAGAGGAACGTGAATCGAGCGATCGTGCGAGTCGTGCGAGTGCGACTCTGGCCTGTTCGTCGCGATAGCGCGAGTGAGGCTTTCTCGCAGTTCGCTCCGCTTCGTCTCGTCACGTTACGCGCGAGAGCGAGCGGCGAGCGAGCGAGCGCAGTGGCTCTCGCGCGCGCGCGCGCGCGCGCGCACACGCGGTAATGCAGAAAGTTCGCCAGGGGAACTTGGCGTTGAACTTTCGCGCACGCACTATTATCGCGACGCATGCCGCGCAGAGACGGTAGACGACACGCACTCGCTTGTATCGTACCACGGGATTCTCTACGTTTCCAGATAGTAACGCGTCGTCTTCTTCTTCGCCAATCGTCGTCGTCGTCGTCGTGGGTCTTTTTTGCACGGCCCGTCGCTGCCGCCGCTAACGGGCGAATAGGTTACGTGGTGTGCAGAATAGTGCAGAAAGTTTTGTGCAGTGAACGGTCGTTAATAGACTAGTACCCGCGGCTCCTACGGCTACGAATAGGGAGAGCGAGAAAGAGAGAGAGAGAGAGAGAGAGAGAGAGAGAGAGAGAGAGAGAAAGAGAGAAAGAGAGACAGAGGGAGAGAGAGAGAGAGAGAGAGAGAGAGTGAGGAGACAGACACTGAGGGGGGAGGGCAGAGGCGAGAAAGAAAGAGGGAAAGGAGAAAGAGCGAGAGGAGGAGAAGCGTGCTATATGCGTAAAGGCAGCGCGCGCGAGTGCCAGAACAGAGTGCGAGAGAGTAACTGGCTGATAAAGCGATAGAAGAGGAGGAGCGTAAAGGGTGGTCGCGATACGCCGAAAGTCGCTAAGATGCAGTTTCACAGTGGCCTGATGTTACCAATCCTACTCGCCGTCGCGCTCTGCCTCCTGTTGAACGTGTTGACGTTACACGCGCGGCAGGTCGCACCTTTGATAGAGGACGACTGGGCGAGAAGACCGCATCGTGCCGCCGGTAAGTCTCCTTCTCACTCTGCGATGTAGCTCGCTTATTTTCACGTCGTGTTCACGTCTCCTGCATCGTAACCGGGAGAACCAACGTCGTCGTCGTCGTCGTCGTCGTCGTCGTCGTCGTCGTCGTCGTCGTCGTCGTCGTCGTCGTCGTCGTCGTCGTCGTCGTTGCCATGATGACCGTAATCGTGATTATTACTGCTGCTGTCGCCGCCGCCGCCGCCGCCGCCGATGACGACCGACGGACTTGGTTCCCGATGAGAGAGGCGATCGCCTTACGTTTAGCGCTTGATTTCACCAGCGGTATCGCGAGTGGTTCGCTTGTCCTTTAAAGGTTAGACAGCGACGTGCTCCGATGGTGCTCGCGTGGTTCTCCGAGTGCGGTCTTACATAATGAGAGAGGAGAGAGGGGAGAGGGAGAGAGGCACATAAAAAAATGGAGCGAAAATATCGGTGCTCGTGTGCGCGTCCTCGGCGTAGCATCGGATGTCGCGATTGCAAAGGAGGCTTTTTTCGGCGTACTCGCGGTAGCTTTCACCGTGTAAACTCCCCTGTTCCTTCTTCGATCTGTCTCGTCTGTTTATATCGCTCGTTACCGTCGCCACGCGCTGTCACGTGCGGCTCTCTCGGCTCTTCGTCCACATTCGCTCGCTCGCTGTGTAAACTCGCTTCGCATCTGCGGAGTCGGATTCCCAGGCGTACTCGTTCGTGTCTTTCCGATTCGCGGAATATCGTCCGGAAAGAGCCGTCCTCGCTAACGCGGCTTTCCCGTCGCGTCCCGCGTTTCCTCGTGTTCTATCGATCGCAGGAATCGCAGGAGAAATCGAGGAGTCGCATTCGTAGAAAATGTGCAACACGCGATCAAGGATAAGAATAGAGAGATCTGTCGCGGTCTCTCGCGTCTCCTTTCTTCGTCCGCTATCATTCATTCATTCAGCTCCGTCCTTCTTTCCCTTCTAACCTTTTTGCCCCTTTTTTTTTCGTCTTATCTATCCATCTCTTCCCCGTCACCAAGTACGTCACGCGCATCCAATTTTTCTCCTCGTTCAAACGCGCATGGTGTTCTCCCGAGCGGGCCCCCAACAACGTATCGAGTTTCCAAGCGACAGTGATCCGTCCCGCTTAACACAATTCGCAGATATTTCAACGATATCGAGCATTCGCGGGCAATTATCCTCGCGAGATAGAATTCGCGGATCGCTGCGCGCATCCCGCTTGTTCTTCCTTCCTTTCTTTCGTTCTTGAGAATTTTTCGCTCAGATCGTATTTCTTGGCCCCAAGGACTCCGTGAGACACCTGTTGAGCGCGGCGTACGGTCGCTGATGCTAATCTCAATTAGTATTTATCGCCGAGGTGGCGACAGTGGACCACGACACGAGTCTCATGTCTGAGCCGATGCCGCGCGGATATAAACATTAGGCGCGCACGCTTGCGCCTTTTTAGCGGAGTGCCTGGCGAGCGACGTTTTCCCGGGTGGTCTTTTTTTCGTTTCTTTACATTACTACAGACACCGATAATGCAAGCGGCTTGTTCCGCAACGCGCGACGATTCTAAAAATATACACACGGTACTTCGCTCGGCGCTGTTTGATCGCCGACTTCGATTTTCGATGCTCATAAATTGCCCCGATCGAAGCAGCGCTCTTCTGACTGATCCGAAAGTATCTTCTCGTGCTTTTTGCATTTCTTTTTTTCTTCACTCGCGCAAGCCGCGCGTGTACTCCGTACACGGGAATTGATGCACGTTTTCGAACGTCCCCTTCTGAAAGAAGGTTGTTTTTGCGTTTACACGTGTACAAATATTGACCCTTTGTGCTCCAAGCGCCAATTCGGTTCGGTTTGAGATTTGCCATTCCCACGCACATCAATATGGCGATTGCGATAAAAGACCGTGCCAAGTTCAAAGAAAGGTTACAGACTACAAAACCGAGAGAGAGAGAGAGAGAGAGAGAGAGAGAGAGAGAGAGAGAGAGAGAGAGACTGCTGATAAGTGAATTCCTTTTAATTGATTCGAGGCTTTGACAAAAATCTACGAAGCGGAAAGGGTTAATCTATAGACGCGAGTTGACAAAGGAGAAGAATTTTCTTCGTGCAAAATAGCGCCTCTAAACTTGCGCGCGCTATGCGCTCTCTCGTCGCGCCGTTCTTGATATTCGCGTCGACTCGACCAATTTCTACCCCGGCCTCATACGATGGCAGATTACTTCGGAAACGTGTGTTCAAGAGCGCCTTAAAATTTCACGTAAATGGACTTTATTCACATGCTGCCGCGAGGCACGATCGAACCTTTTTCTCCCGCATGCCCGCCCTCGCGATCCTCGTCGAGCAGCCGATCCTCCATACAAGATTCGCGACTAATTGGCTGCAGCCACGAAGACAACGCCGCCGTTGTGCCGTTAAAGAAGTAAGCCAATGCGTTTTTTTCTTCCTTAAAGTAGGTAAACGGTGGCGTTACACACGTCGCGCTCGCAACGCGCGAGACGATGCTCCGTCGCGTCGTGTCCGCACGCGTCGCAATCTTCACGCAGAGTCGTCGCGTTGCTTCACTTCCGGATACGCCTGATTATCGCGTGATCTATAGCAAGAACGAGAAAGAGAGAGAGAGAGAGAGAGAGAGAGAGAGAGAGAGAGAGAGAGGCAGGAAGAAAAACGACAAATGGAAAAAGGAGACGACGGAGAGCACGACGGATTCGCGATTGCATCCGTCGTCGGCAACGCTTGAGAATTGGAGTTGCCGCAACTCGTCCGTGCGACGCGGAACTCGCGTCGCGTCTCGAAAATTTAATTAATAAATGTGTTATATGAAACAGAAGGTATAGATACGGATCCAAGAGAATCTAAGTCAAGAAGCTGCGTGAGAGCTGATTAATTTCTCATCGAAGCCTGAGCAAAAGCGGGCGGTGTCTGTGGAAGAATTTGTATCGTGTATACAAACAGCGATTGTGAAAAGTAACTGTAAATAATAGAGTATAATAACAATAGAATATAATAAATAAAAGAAATTACGCGAAGGTCATCTATTGTGAAGGAAGATGCAAAGTGGGATTCGTGAGCCCACAGCGCCGCCGACATCCGGTCTGATCTGTGCGATAGATCGACGGCGTGCGCGCGTGCGTGTGGGAGTTTTTACCTTTCTGCCCTTCTTGCGCGAAATGCACGGAGATTTCTCTAAAATCGAGACAGCACGTTCACATCTCTCCCGTTCCTTTGAGAAAGGCTGCACCGCTGAGGAGAAGATCGTATATATTTAGACGAGTTGCAGACACAAAACGACTTACCACCACCTCCGCGCGACTGTCTCTTCGTTTCTCTTCTTCTCTGTTCTCTCTGCTCTCTCTTTCTCTCTCCCCTCCCCCTCTGTCTCTCCCACTCCACTCTCTCTCTCTCTCTCTCTCTCCTAAAAATGAAAATCGAATTTATCACGTAATTAGATGTTAATTATTTCTCAATTAGCTGCTGCAGCCCCGAATTACACTGCTCACATCCAGTCGCTGAAAGTTGAGTTTTAATCGTCGAAACACATGCGGAGCAACTGATTGGAAGATAATTGGCACCTAATTTTGCAATAGATTCGATTTCTACTGCAGGTTTTCCTTCTAGGGAGAAGCGTGGTAAGCGTGAAAAATACGGCTCTTTATTCAGGACATTCTACTTACAGTGGGGAATACAGCCTTGTACATCTACATCGGTAGATCAAGATGCTACTTTCTGCTACCGTCCGATCAATACTCGAATTATGACGTTGACTCGGTACCGGCATCGACTCGGTACCGGACGGGGCACGGCAGGATGCATGAAATAGATTGCGTATTCCCATTATCCTCAAATAACATAGGTGCGGTTCGCGCTTTTCACATTTCCTCGTAGCGCGCAGCCTTGCAACCTTGACGAAGGAACGCGCACGGTACGACGGATATCGCGGTTCCCAATCTCAAGCGGATGAGAAATTCGGGAATTGACGGCGAATGCGTCGCGACGGAGGAGCTACGGCGCGCTTGCGTTTGCGCGGTGTATGCGTGTGCATAAATTCTCCGTTTCTCCTTCCTCCCCGTTTCGCCGCGTGAGAAACGACGGATATTAATCGCCTGATTGGGGACAAAGATTTTGAATGGTAGCTCGGTAGACACAACGCACATTAACGCGGGCCCGCGAGACTTCAAAGTAGACACACCTACGAAGGCAAGCGTGACATAGTGCTGCTACGGCGTCTTCTTGCTTTCGTACGTTGTAGGTCGGCTGAACGACAGAATAAGACGCTAACGGTCGTAAAAAGAGCGGAAAAGGGGTAAAGAGACGAAGAGAGGGAGAGAGAGAGAGGGAGATTCTTTGTTGTGATTATATACTGTATGTATTATGTATGAAAAAGCGTTTAACATGATTTGCGATGTCTGTTGGCCAATATATTATTATTAATATTAATATTATACTTGTGCGGCATTAAAACATTTTTCTCTTTTTTTTTTCCCTTTTTTTTTAAGAAATTTTTTTCTTCCTCCTAAAGCACACGGCGTCCTATCGATTTCGGAAAAGAGAACCATGAGATTTTTCTGAGGAAAGACGATGTATGGAACGCGAAAATTCGCATATGCGGCGTGACGCGACACGGCGTTCGGATGTCACAGAGAAAATTGACGCCTGTAAACATCGCACATCGTTGGTAGACTTGCGATAGCGAGTGATCCGGCGATAGGTCGATGACGAGTTAATTGTCGACTTAGGTTGTGCCCGAAGGCTTCGCTCTTGGGGTTCAAGAGAATAGTCCGCTTTCGGCGAACGGAGTCGTAAGTCCGCGGAGCGCCGCAACGACGGTTACGTCGTATAATTGCCAGCATAATTGTTTTCGATAAGTTGGTTCAAAGTACAGTCCCCTATTTAAGATTGTAAGAAACGTAATAACGCGCGCGATCGTGACGGAACTTGATGAAATGCGACGACGGCGGCTCTGAGGTTCCTGGTTGTTGCCCTCGTTGTGTAGATAACAATTTTCTTTTCTCTTTATAAACTT